ATCCTTCTTTTTGTCAAGTTATTTTCTCTTTATTTCTGCATGTAAAGCATTGCAGTTGCTCATGTTGGCTCCCCTTGTGATGTCATCAATGACCGCGCCCCCTAACAGGAAGCAATGGCTACCAGCAACTTTAGCAAGCTCTAACTTTCCCAAAGCAAGTGCAATGCAAGAATGCAACTAGGAATAGTCTATTTGAGTAGTGTACATTAAAAATAAGCAATAATCTCAAATTTCATTTTCGCGTGCAAGCCTCCCTTTAATAAACTATTCTGAATACCGTATGAACTACTTGTACATATACACTAGCAATACTATTGATATACTAACAATGGTGTGTATTTGTTGTAGATTCTTGATGGTTAGTCTGCATTGGCAGCTGCACAAGAAATGTGTATGATGAATTTATAAGACGTAATCCTGATTTTATTTCAAATAATGGGACAGCAACAGCATCAATGTTTGCTCATTTGCTTGGTAGCGTAATATACTATGACCTGATGTATGAGACCTGTCTTGTCAATGGACTACTAGAGAAAAGGAAAGAGATTGTACACCGATGGACATTCATTTAACAGGTAGGAGAGAGAGAGAGGAAGAAATGGGCATTTATTTTGATTAGAAAAGAGAGAGAGAGGAAAAAGAGAGATTAAAGGAAAGGGGATAATTGTATATATCAATTCAAGTCTGGAGAGTTTAAAAAATTACCAGCTTTCCTTTCCCACCAGATCATCCATTTAAAAATGAGTCTGATGAAAAGTTTGAAGAGCTACAGAAATTAAGAATAAGAGTTTCTAAACTTGAATCAGAGCTAGGGATAAAGAAAGGGTTCAGTTCTATAAAGTTTGAAGTGGATCAGTTATTTGCTGTTGGGTCTCCATTGGGTATACTCTTAATGCTAAGGGAACACAGTCCACTAGTATAAAGGAAAGTAAAGGAGCTGATTCACTGCTGGCTTCTGCTAACAGATTCATAATGTACATCATCTTTCAGATCCTGTGGTGAGTTTAGTATCAACTACATGTAGTGTCCATGTAGAGCCTGCTGTTATGAGATGGGTTTATGGTACAGTATTTATTCTTATACTTGTTGCCTGTGTTTTATGTTAAAATCAAATTTTGATATCTTTTATACTTGTTAATTTTAATCCAGGCCTATTATTTGGAGTTCAGTATATGCTCAAGTGAAGCTGGTAAAGATGGACGCTGCTAGTAGCAAACCAATGCAGAAATCAATCGGTCTAGCTGAAGGACCCAAGACACCAGAAGTGACACAGAGTACTAAGAGTAGTAGCAGCAGTTGGACACAATCACTGATATCAGCTGTAGTTAAGTGTTGCTTCTAGTAATGGCGCTGAAACTTGTAAATCATTTACCTCATGATAAAGTAGGTAAGCTATTAATGAAACATCATTACATATTATAATCCTCGAGTGATTTTTATAGAATTATATGCATTTTTACAAATAACTAATATTTTAGTAATTTCATTGTATTGGATAATAGGCTATAGTCAATATTATTTATTATTTTCCTACAGGCTTTTGATGACACCGAAATACTACCTGAAGGTAGGGAGATACATGTACATGTACTAGATCCATTTTGTTATAATATTATTTACTTATTATTTTTAGATCGATTAAATAAGAGAGTTGATTTATTGTTCTGTGAAGGACTGAAAGAGAACAGTTACTTAAACTAAATCACAGCTGACACTGGGTATTGGACCAACTCTGACTGTGCAATGTATCTATTGCTTCAATGGTATACTTAGAAAAAGGACAGCAAACTGTGACTGATGGTATCTTGTTGATTTATATAGTGGATTTCTGTTTCTTTGTCATTAGCAGTAATAATTGTTTTAATTATTTTGAATTAAAGCTATTATCAAACTTCTGCCTAAATTATCTGACAACACTGTTCTGTCACAATAGAGTGCTGTATGGTCAATAATGGCACAAGGGGTGGAGTTGAAACAGCCAATATACATGTACAGCACTAGGCACTGAAAAAGCATAAAAGAAGCATAAAATGTAATAGAGGCACTGTGTTATGACCGTATTAATTGAGAAAAATTATTATATAATAGCAAGTAATTTCAGCAGAGTAAAGTATAAAATTATAAGTGCAGCGGTTGATTCAGCCATAGGTCCCTACTTAATTAAAATAATCCATTTCAGTCAATCCTGTTATTAATATCTCTGCCTATGCTGTAATTTGCATTCTCTAATCCTCTTCAACCTACAATATGATAAATGGTATAAGTGATGAGGAATGTAATGAGCTGAGAGCTGATTGTACATGTAGTCATGTACATGATGAAAAATGAAGTTTACTGACCTTGCTTCCTCTGCCTCTTGTATTTCTGATCTCTCTTTATCTGTTAACTTTTTCATTTTCTCTCTATTGTCTCTAAATAATTATAAACAGTAAGAGGTGTATGTAAGTATGTGTGTATACATAATGTGTGTGTGTGTTGACTGTGTTCATTAGTACTTGTAATATATGACATATCCATCATCACCATATAGTCCTAATAAGTAGTATGGTCTGTCTGAAGTGATGGAATACCAAATCAACGTATTCTCAATATCAAGACATGATATCTTAACTGGAAATAATCTTCCCTAATAGAGTCAGAGAGAGAGAGTATCTTTAAAATGTTTTAATGATTAACCTGTGAAAAAGAGATATACTCAACAGGAACTCCACTTAACTCTGAAAGCTGTAAAAACAATAATAATGTGATACTGACACATGTTCCTTATTATAAATAATACCTTTCCAATAACATGTTTAGGATCATCATTATCCAGTATAATTTCTTCTATTGGATCAACTGAACATTGTGATGGATGCCATCTTATAACATACACCTGTTTCTGTGCTCCATCCTCCTTCTCTGGTCCTAACAAAATAATACACTATAGCTAACTTTAAACTTACTATAAAATACATTTAGTACATACAGTATAATAATATAATATAACTGAGATATGTTACAAAAGTAAAGATCAACAACAGTTTTTATAACAAAAGGACAACTATGATAAAGACAAAGACTGAACTCAGGAATATCCACCCACATTAATAACAATTATAATAATACACTATACACATTAATACTAACACATACAGCAGATATACTGACCTTTCAATGGTTCCACATACATTTCATCACTAGTATCAATCCACTCAACATCAAAATATACTCTACCAGGGGACACTCCTATCTTGTCACGTAATCTCATTCTACACAACATAGGCATAGGAATGATTCAAAAGTTGGGGGGGGCTCAACATTAAAAAGCATGACTTAGCATGTGAACATGGGGGGGCTAAGCCCTTC